GCCACCACATAACTAACTCAAAACATAGTCTACCTTGTATAAATGAGACAAATTGGTGGCAAAAGTTAAAAGTTATGAGGAATGAAGATTGTATTGGCTTTAGAGTAAATGGTATTAGCTTCTACACTAAAACTCATTTCCTTCAGAGGAAGATCAAAAATTTAAAGTTTATGAGCTCCTACAATGACCTCAAGTAGAAATTGGTCTCACAGGTAGATACTTTAATATATTTAGTTGATGCTTTGATCATATGCATGGTTTGAGCAAAATCTGGTGTTCCATGAACACATATACCACTCTAGACTCCTAGGGAAGTTATGAAGTGCAATCCCAAAAAAATTAGAACCAACAATATCTGGTTTGCATGAGTTGTTACAAAAGCAGCAAAATTGTCACCTAAAATCTTGAGTCAGTAACATCAATATATTCGTCCAGGGTATCCTGCATTAAGTCAGACTATGAAGTCAACATCCTACTTCAATAACATAAAAGTAGTATTTCACAGGGAAACTAAGTTATAGAGGTAGTTTAATAGGATCCAGCAAAAATTCTACTCATACAATGAGTCTTGTTTGCAAGTCGAGCTCCTCATTAAATGACAATGCTATATGTTTGAAGCTCATCAAGACTCCTCCAATTTCTCAAGCCCCTCATCTTGTTCTGCATTAGTAGTAAATCCAACAAATAACATATTAAAGAAACAGAAAAGCCAATCGTAGGAGAAGTTCTCAAAATACATAACAACTTGCCTTTCATAATTTGCCTTTGAAGACCAACAACACCATAATTGTCAAGGCCTGTGGTTCTGCTCGTAGCATCTGTTGTCTTTGTTTCTAGTCCAAGCAAGTTGTCCCTATTGGCAAAGTTCGACATATTCAAAGTGGAGGCCATTTCGGTTGCTTTTGATTTTAAATTTTCAAGCATAACCTTTTGAAGATTCATCTCTTTCTCTGTCCTACATAAAGATGAAGGCTTAAGAAATCTATACAGAATCACCATACAAAAAGTAATGTTATTAGGCCTATGCGTTCAAAGATTCTGCAGACAGACAACTGCTACAAATTCTTATGACACTTGCCCCTCCCCCACCCTCAAGATATTTATAAGAAAAAAGATACATTTACCGAAGTATAAAAGTAAAATTTCTGCAATTTAACACAACTTAGACTTTAGACATTATCAATAGTGACTACAAAAGAGAGCGGATTATTTGAAATACTTTCTCTTCTATAATCCTCCATTTGGATAAATCACTAACAATGACTTGCCTTTGCTATCCATTTCCCTATTACACCCTCCATTGCAAATTGCATGCATTATGGCGCTTTACATTTTTTAAGGGAAAGGACGAAAATATTTGACTTTGTATAATTCAGTAGTTGCGGATTGAATATGCAACATAGTTCATGATAAGTGAGGTCAATTTGTTGTATCAGATCAAATTTTACCCTCTTAATAGAATTGTAAGCAAGGAAGGCAGGAAATATTTGATTGTCCAATATATATTTTTTCCTGATTGAAAATTGATTTACCAATATTAAAGTGGATTAGGTATAGATCACCCTGGATAAGAAGCCAAAATATGATTTCTAAAGAAAATATGACCATAAACACATTTCAACTAATATAAGTATTCACCATCATGAAATGAAAATATACTTAGTGCAGGTCAAATACAACTATCCACTACCTATTTAGGAACATATACAAAGTTCTCTAACAGCACGACAAGAGTCGTATGAACAGGTTGCCAAAGTACTAGCAATTTAACACATTTAAAAAAAATTAAGCATAAGAAGACTCAGATTTGAAAAACTCGCAAGCGTTGCTTTCCAGGAAGCTTAGAGTCAATACATTGTAAGCTATCAAGTCTAAATCCTAATATTGTGATCTTCATTCTCATTAAAGATGAATGACATTGTGCTTCCGGGCCTGTTGCGGGCAACAAATTTCTTTCAGATATCATGTAAATGATTTTATCTGCGAGCTTTCCTGCTTTATTATATTCTTGGATCCAGAAGTCTCCAAAAGTAACCATTTTCTAAAGAAACATTAGAAATATAAATAGACAAACGATGAATAAGGGAACATCCATGTGAACAATCTCTCTCCCACCCCCAAACCAAAAAAAGGAAAATAGAAAAAGGGGGGGAAAAGCAATTTGTTGCTCCCTCGTAAAATGAAGATAATTTATTGACAAGAATGTTAGATCATAAATCAGCTAGATTTCTCATTTGACCAATCAAAGACACTGCAACAGAACTGCAAAAAGACTCCATACAGGGACCTTCTTTTCATGATTCAACATGTTTTGCCACTACAAGAAGTGGGAAAGAAAGGTACGGAAAAACAGAGGGCAGAGAACCATGTTCTACATCAAACAGAGGAACCATGTTTACGAAATTTAGAACCTCGAATGCCTTATAATTTTCCAAACCATGTGCTCCGCCACCATTATTCACTTTTAGTTAAGAATAAAAAGAAACTAGAAGAACGTTCAAGACAGAAAATTCACATTTATTCACCAAACATGTTATCTGAGTTTCTCAACCTTAACTCCTCCAATACTCCCCAAGGAAACAATCAATAGCGCACCAGAAAGAAGTCAAGAGAAATGAAGATAGAATAACAAGACCAAATTGCCTACATAACCATCGATCAAGAAAGACTTGAGCACTTAATCATATTGAGAAAATAATTGACAAGAACAGACATAAGATGAAATAAAAGAAAAAAGTAAATCAGAACTTCCTAACCATTTTCTGAGAAACATTTTAACTTGGTAACTTTGTATTATATCACGAAACAGTAAATGCGTTGTTTGAAACCTTATATACAAGTGGCCCCAATTCTTACTACTTTATGGCTAAATTGAGTCTACAACATCATCGAGACACTATCATTGTTGAGTACAACTGATTACACCAAAAACATAATAGCAAAATGTAGTTGAGCTTCACTTTCTGCACACTATTCTCTATGCTCTCAAAACACCAAGAGTTTATCTCTTTCCACAATGCCCACCATATCGAAGCAGAGAGAAATCTCCATCCGCCTCTATCTTTTGCTAGTTCTCCTGCTTCCTCCTAACTCTTTAAAGCCTCAGAAACTTCCTAGGCATAGTCCAGTAGATGCCTTTGAGACTTTAAAAGATTCTCCATAATTGTTGAGTGTACTTGCAGTGTAGAAACAGATGGTTAACAGTCTCTAAGTGCCCACAAAGAAAACATCTAGAGCATAAGGTTATCCCTCTCTTCTTGACATTTTCTTGATTAAGAGTTGTTTTTTTGGCCAACAACCTGAAAAGCAAGATACCTTATGGGATATTTTTTTTCCATATTTGTTTTCATGGCCAGTTTGTAATCTGTCGTTTGTTTGACCCATTAACTTATAAGTTGTATTGACTTTGTATACTCCTCTATTGTATCATGTCCACAATAATATCCTACCTTATTTGAAGTCTATTGAAAGGCTCCATTGTTTTAAGAAATTCAGCTACTCTCTAAACCTCACTGTCATTGAGTTGTCTTCTGAAGTTGAAGTTTCACTCCGGTAGTTTTCATAAATATGTTCTAAACCCTTGTTGAATTCTAAGTTTGTAACTAAGTTCTAAACATCAGGAATTAACTTTTCCAAGTTGGCTTTCTCATGCCAGCTATCCTTCCAAAACAATCTTTCTCCCATCAAAAAAATTCACCTTTGAGTTGTTCTTTACTTCATCCCGCAAATTCCTAATGGACCTCCAAAAGCTGACCTCATAAGGGAAAGTCACCTCTTTGATCATCCATTTGTCTTTTGCTATATATTTATCCCAATCACACATTCCCACATCAATTGGTTTACCATTTGCATACTTCCAATTTCATTTGAAGAACTTTACTTTACAAGTTTAGGTTCTTAATCTACCATTCTTGTTTCTAGATATCACTTTACCAAGTGAAATCCTTTATTTTCGTTACCACGTTGCCATATAAATTTTCTTCTAATACTGTCAGCCTCTTGGTGACCCTTGTTGGAATAGAAAAAGGAACATCATGTAAGTAGGAAGAGCATCAAGTACTAAATTGATTCACTCTTCCTGCATTTCATATGCAGACTAGAGACCCCTTGAAACAGAACAAATCACTCTTTAGTACTTTTGTTGATCTTCCTCAACATTACAAAAGATAAGTGTAGCATCTGCATATTATAGATGTGTCACTTCCAAATTGTAAATTCAACCTTGTGATTTGGTTGTCTTGATCATGTTATTCAATCCTTCCATAGCAATTAGGAACAGAAAAGGTGACAAAGGATCACCGTGCTTGAATCCTCTATTTAAAAAAAAAATGAAAGTAGTAACTTAAGTCTAGGTCCTCTATGTGATTGGAAAAAATCATGTCGGAGAACCATTGACTAGAACTGAAAAGTTGATTGTCGAAATACATAGCTCTATCCATTTCAATCAATTTTTTCTAAAAGCCACCATTCCTAATACCTTCATAAGGTATCTCCAATAACATGGTCATAATCTTTCTTTATATCCAGCTTATAAAGAAAGTGTGGTTTCTTCTGCTTAGCTCTGGAATCAACAACTTCATTGGTAATCGAAATCGCGCCCATAATTTGTCTCCCTTTAATGAATGTCATGTGCTAAGAATCTACCAACTTGCTAATCACCTCTTTCAATTTACCAACCATTTGTTGGGAAACATTCTGGCATTCTAATGACCCCGTTCACCACTTACGGATGTAACTTTACTTGCTTCATAATGATCTTTGAGGCGACCACCCTTCTATTAGAATAGTACTCCCTCCGTTTAAAAAAGAATGACCTAGTTTGACTTGGAACGGAGTTTAAGAAAAGAAAGAAAACTTTTTAATCTTGTGGTTCTAAATTAAAGTTATGTCAAATGTACCAAAATGCCCCTTAATTTTTTTCATTTTAAATATAATATATATGTGAAAATTGAATTTAACGAATTACTAAATATAAAAGTGATGATTAAACAAACTAAAACTAAAATAAAATACATAAATCAAAGTGATGATTAAACAAACTAAAACTAAAATAAAATACATAAATCAAACATATAAAATATATTCTTATACATTTTCTTCCTCCGGCCTCATTTGGATTGAGCTTAGCTCTATATCTCTGCAGAAAATCAATAATATATTTTAAGTATATATCATATTGAATTATTATTACGGATATCAAATAGATAGATTGAAATATAATGAATGTACAAATTCAAATAGATTATATTATTAAATGTACAAAACATTAATTTATTTTCATCGATGATTGTAAATAAAAAAGAATTATATAAAAAACCTGTAAGCGATTCTTAATTTGACAATGAGTTATTCTCAAATGTGTCATTTCCTTCCAAGCTGCAAACAAATTAAAATTTGTAAAAAGAATATATGTATACCACTAATTTGGAACAATTCAATAGATGATTTAGATCTAGTTTGATATCTTAATTTTAAAAAATGAGATCATGAAATAAAAAAAAATTGTTTTTGTTGAATTAAAAAAAATTATCTGATTACTTACCTTTAATTTCATCCAAATATTTTTTCAAATAAAAAAGAGTGAAAAAAATAGATCTACATGCTAGTTACTAGCGACATGCAATCATCAGATGTTGCGGTGAGATATAAATAAAATTTCTTTATTTATTATTAAGAATTTGAACTTGAACTTTAAGTATAAAATAAAAAATTACAGAGTAGGTTTCTCTTTAATAGATTTTATGTGGTATAAATTTTAATAGAAAAAGACAGACGAATACACATGATTTATGTTTTACAAATAAAACAAAAAATTTGAGCATAAATAAATAAATAACGTGAAGGGTAAAATTTATGATAACCCCAAGGTCCGCCGTATGCATCAACAACATCAAGAAACTTTCGATGCAACTCATCAGTCCAAAGGACGCGAGGTGGTTTAACTCGCGAAGCCGACCCAATATTGTTAGGTTGCTAGCCAAGTTCTTGTTGAACTTGATGAGCTACATTGAAATTTAAAACATTCGGATTAAGCATAAAAGGATCTTGAAAACTAATAATATTATTATTAAATGTATTCTGTCCACCAAAAAGTCTCATGGGCCCAAGATTTTCCAAAAATGCAAAATCGTTCGCTGGTTGATAGTTAAATTGTGATTGTTGTAGACTCATTAGTTCATCGTAGTGAAGTTGCATAGTGGGGATGATTGACGATTGAAAATTTCCGATCTCGAAAACCGGGGAGGGGAAGGGGGAACATTTCAAAGAGGTAAAGAAAAGAAGGTAAAGAATACTGTAGCTTTGTGAATGTGGGGTATTTGGGAGAAGCCTATTAACATCCTTTTATAGGTAAATTTCAACTAAAGAAATGATATTTAGATTCCCACAATCTTCTACTAAAAAGTAGTTATAGACTATATGGTAAGAAAATAAATAAATAAAATTAAGTATTTGGATTTGGCGTAACTGCTTATCATCATTAGTTTATGCGAAGATACGATTAATCTAATTTAAAATATTTTTATGCACCTATTTTTATTAATTATTATTCTAATCTTTATCTGAAACACCTTATAAATCTAACTGGACTGTACACAAGGAAAAATGAGAGAACCATAGAGGGGTCCACGGGCCATGTACAGGACCGCGACCTGCCACCACAATCGTGGTTCATACTTGGAAAAATGTGGAGGACTACAAACCCCTTCAGGAGTGTGGAACTTCACACGAGCCGCCGGGTTGCCCGTCAAAATGACCAGGAGCCACCCAAGGCCACTGTGAGGAACCACGGACCGCTAGACGGTCCGTGAAACCCCACAAGGTCCTGTAAGTTGACCGTGGAAGTCACCCTATAACCATCCTTGTTCATGTGAGGAACCACGCCTGTCTATATGGCACATGGTATTTCACACGGTCCATCAAGTGAACCGTGAGGGGGGGGGGGGGGGGACATGCCAGCCTTCAAGTATTGAGTCAGCTTCAAATGGTCATATCTTTTATAAAAAAAATGACTTAGGTGACTCATGACCTATCAAATTAAAGATAATTGAATCCTCTTTTTAGCCTTCGAGTTTGCTAAAATCCAAGTTCAGAATAAAAAGTTACGCTCCTTAAAATAGAGCCTTGTTAGGAGGGACATAAACCACGACCCAATTGACATGTTGTGATTCAAATGACAGCCCGTCAGTCCCTCTGTGAATGACACTTTGTCAATTTAAGTCAGGGTCGTTTGTTTTTTCCCCTATGTCTTGGTCACTTAAGCTACGTCATTTGATGTCTAATTACTTCGTTTCACTCAATCTAAACCTAATAATCTAGGTAGAATCACCCCAAAACCCTCATCCTCCTAAAATCACCCAGCTTAGAGTAAAAAGAGGAGAATTACTTGTTAAATGGCCAAGGATATAAACTTTCCGTCGGTTTTGGAGGTCTTTCCATTTTAAAAGACGGAAATTTAATTTAAGTTTGTATATTTTAGTTGTTAGAATTGGCCAATGAAGAAATTACCGTCGATTTCCAAGGCCTCCCATGTTCATAAGACGGGTTTTTATTATTAAGTCACTATTTAATTAATTCATTTTTATTCATATTTATTTATTACCAACACTTTTACTAAGTGTGTTTACAGGTACCCAAGACTTGCTTCCTTGAAGCTATTTGAAAGGAGTTTGAATTATATTTTTCAATTCATTATTTTGTATATATCGATGTTAGGCAAACCTTAGGCCGATATTATTATTTTATTTTATTGTGTATATTGCATGTTTATTGTATTTGTACATTATTTTATTCTCCTTCTCAATTTGAAAAAATGAACTCAGTCGGGAACCACAGTTGTGGATTTTGAAGGGTGTCTAACCCCTTACCTTCAGAATAACTTGAACCCCTTACCTAGAAATCAAATTGGTTTCGTAAACATTTCTTTCAAGTTAATTAATTAATCGGTTTTCTAGTTTTCTAAAAAAAAACTTAGGTGGTGACTCCCTTTTCCTTTAATCCCTTTTAAACTCATTTTACCCCTTGTAACCCTTTTTTACCCGTTTCAAAAAAAAATTAACTTATTTTTTTTAGTTGAGTCACCGCGGCGTTGCTCCAATTCAAAGAATGTCAACAGTACAAAATTCGGCTAAAAAGATAACCAAATGGCAACCCCAATTTGTGACTTAGTAGTCAGTGAACTGCGTTGAGAACCATAAGGTCTGCAGAGACAATCACTAGGTGATTTCTTCTAGTCTTGGTTGACAAAGTTACTTGGTACCTATTAGTGATGGGAGGTATTCGTGGAATTAGTCGAGTTGTGTGCAAGCGGCTGACCATGGTTATCAAAAAGACAACAAAATGGCAGTAGAAGCAGCAACAACTATATGAAACGATAGTAATTCAAAGTCCACAGCAGAACCACGAAATTTAGAACTTTAACTCTTTAATTGCAACAACAAATAGAGAAAAAGAGAACAACGCAATATACTTGAGTTTAATAACCAGTCCATTAATTCTAGAAATCAAAAGCGCATTGAGACTTCAGAACAGTTCAAAAGGGGGAAATTCAAGAGCACCAATTTCAAATGTGAAAAAAGGAAACGATGTTACCTTTTTTGGTGAAATTGAAATTGATGATTAGAGAATTATGGAGCCTGAGAATGATTTTTTGAAGAAGGAATCAAATGAGAAGCCAAATTACTTTGGAGCAGTGTCGTCCAGCTTCGTCGCCGTCGTAAACACACTTAGGTGATGATAACTTTAGAACTATTTTGAGAGTTAATATCTAAAAGATCACTAAACTTTAGGATTGATCTAGCAAAGTCATTAAAGTTTGTTTTCTATCAAAAAAAAATCACTCAACCTAAATTTTTATATCTATGAATCACTCAACTTTATGAATTGATCTAACATAGTCATTGAAGTTTGTTTTGTATCACAACTTAGATTTTCATATCAATAAAATTACTCAACTTAGACATTTGTGTTAGTAAAATCACTAAACAAAATTTATCCTGTTTTTGTTTCATATAAAATAGACCCCACAAATAAATAAAATTAAGAAAACTAATCTAAATTTTTACGGAAAATTTCTTTATTGAAACAAATACTCTTTATCTTAATACACTAATTACTAAATAAAAAGAAATAACTAGGAGTTCTATTTATTGGTTCACTAGTGTATCTGATTTTGAGAATCAGCACAAACAAATTATCGATGAAATTTGTATTCACAAATCTAATTAGGATTCATTAGAAAAGAAAAGTACTAAAATAATATTTAAAATTGTGACCTCAAATATCTTTCTAAATATATTATAACTAACAGCTTTTCTTTTAGAATGCAAAAATTAAACAACAATGCTCTAATAAAATTTGTTTTATTTGTTTTGTAACTTTTTTTAAAAAATAAATAAAATAAATAATGTTATATATTATTGTACTTCTTCTTTAAAGCTTAAAATTATTTTGGCTCTATTAATCTTGATCTTTTTTTATAACTTTAAAATTTTTCAACTTGATGTTTTGCTTTAACTAGTCAATTTTGTGTAAATATTTTTATTTTGAAATAATTATAATAATGTCATAATGCTTACATACTTTAATATTATAAAAGTATGTATTTCATTAATTAAGTTTGTTCCTAAAGTTTATTAACAATTTTTTAAATTTTTTATTCATTTATAGGGTGCATATTTATATGAGATAGAAAATAATTTTTTTTACTATTTCAAATGTTTTTTTAGTGATAAATTTAGAGCCTGTTTGGTTCAGCTTAAAAGCTGGTTTTTGACTTATTTAGCTGTTTGACAATCCTCAAAATAACTTATTTTAAGTTAAAAAAAACTTATTGTAAGCCAAAAGTTAAAAACTGGGGTAGGGGTGCTTTTTTTTTTCCAGCTTATAAGCTGTTTTAAGTTGACTATATTTTTACATTTTTACCCTTCATATTTTTATACAATCTCCAAATTACCCACATAACCCTAACATCTTTTTCTTCAATTTTTCCCTTTTCATGTGTGGATGATAGACAATTATTATTACTAATGAATGAAAATAAAATAAATCTTAAATCTTTCAAGTGATCTATTCAAATTATATATTATTAAAATGTAAAATAAGTTGCACATATAACTTAGATAAAATTTATATTCCTCTTATAAATAATTTATGATAATAAAGAAATATGTGAATGATAGACTATTATTATTACCTATGGATGAAACTAAATTAAAATCTTAAATCATTCTTTGATCTATTCAAATTATATATCTTTAAAATCTATAATAAGTTTATATTCTTTTTATAAATAATTTGTGATGAGAAAGAAATATGTGAATGATAGCAAAATATAATTATTTATGGCTGTAAAATATAAATTAATTAACTTTTATTATGTTAACAACTTTTAAGGGTATTTCAGATATTTTGATTTAAAAACTTGTATATCAACACTTATTTGTCAAACGCATCAACAACTTTTTTTTAACTTCAGCACTTTTATCCAAACGCATAATTGCTTATTTTAAAAATAAGTTTCAGCACTTTCAAAAGTACTTTTTTAAAGCTGCTTTTATTAACCCCATCCATACGGGCCCTTAGTTAAATGATTTTATTGAAATAAAAGTCTAAGTTGAGTGATTTTATTGATGCAAAATAAAGTTTAATGACTTTGTTAGATAAATTTCCAAAATTGAATGATCTTTTGAGATATTAACTCCTATTTTGACTTTGTTTACTATTTTCTTTTTCTTTTTCTCTTTTTTTTTTCTTTTCTAAATATCCTTGGTTGGTTGGGTGTTTGAATTTGGGAAAATGACATTATAGGAGACAGTTTGTGCAAGCAAGTCTCCGTCGTATCGACATGTCTGCTTCAGCATGTTTCAAAAAAAGTATTTAAAAAATTATTTTTTATAGGGATAATGTACAAGTACCTCTAAACCTATGACCGAAATCTCAGAGACACACTTATACTACACTAAGGTCCTATTACCCCCTAAACTTATTTTAATAATTTTCTATCCCTTTTGGACCTATGTGACACTATCTTGTGGGTCCAACGCTGGTTGATTTTTTTCAAGCTAGTGCCACGTAGGTCGAAAAGGGATAGAAAATTACTTATAAAATAATTTCAGGGGGTAATAGGACCTTAGTATAGTATAAGTGTGTCTCTGAGATTTCGGGCATAGATTGAGGAGGTACTTGTGCATTTTCCATTTTTTATATTCTACTTTGATAGTTCGTGCTGAAGTATGTATGTCTCTATCGACATGTCTGATTCAATATGTTTTGAACTTTTTTCAAAAAAAATTATTTTGTTTGTTCAACTTTAATTTAATTAGTGTAGAATATTTTGAAATTATTAAATTCATTTTATTTTTAGTATGAATTTAAGACTTCACGATGAAGCAGGTCCCCTTTGACGTGCCTGCTTCAACATGTTTTGGAAATGCATTTCTTAAATTACTTCTTTTTTTCTGCTTTTATTTAAGTGTATGCTTCTTTCAAAATTACAGAATTTGTTTTAACTATGACTTTTAGTTTTAAATTCATTTTCTTTGGTTATTGCTTTATTATTATGAATGTCGATATTATTTTGAGTAAAAAGTTAACGATCGATGACAAAAAATACATTAATTATGAAAATTTAAAATGGACCCCTTCACAATAAACAAACAAAAAAATCAACATCTTAAATATCTAAAAATCATATTAAAATTTAAAAGACCCACCTGAATTAACTAAAATTATAATGTATATCGTATAAATTATAATAATTAATATATAAGCTCGAACAAATCTCATAGTAATCTCAACTATGACATATTGATTTTTTTTTTTGGGGGGGGGGGGGGCAGAGAAGTTTCCAACCTAGATAGCTATTACATCAAGGATATTAGAATTCCCAAACTTCGCTAGACTAATACAAGTAGACAGTAGCTAAGGACACTTGTTTAGTAGTTATGTGTCCCATAATATCCTCCGGAAGGCAGTGAGACACTGAAGGAATATTGATTGTATTGAAGTGTTAAGGGAATACATGGAAGATATATATATGAGACATAGGAAGGAGTACTAATCCTAATAGGACTAGGATTAAGGAGTACTAATCCTAATAGGACTAGGATTAGTACACAATAAATACTAATAGTATTTAATACTATTTATTTAATACTATCTGTTATTATCCCCCCTCAAGCTGAGCTGAGCGGAAGCGAACAGAAGCTTGGAACTGAGGTAATCTTGTTGTTGGCTCGGGAGAGGTTTGGTGAGAATATCAGCCGGTTGTTCTTCAGTGGGTACATACTGCACAGTCATGGTGCCGTCCTGAACTTCATCACGAACAAAGAGACAATCGGTATCAACATGCTTCATTCTGGTGTGTAGGACAGAATTCTTGGCCACACAGATAGTTGATTTGTTGTCACAATAGAGAGCAGGAACAGTGTGAGTGGCGCGGAGTTCGCGAAGAATATATGTGACCCACATGGTCTCAGCAGCGAGAAGAGCAAGGGCGCGGTATTCAGCTTCAGTCGAGGACCGAGAGACCTTGGGTTTTTTTTTGTACACCAGGAGATCAGGTTCGGCCCCAAAAAATGAGAAACCCCGATGTAGATTTTCTGTCATTTTTATCATTCGCCCAATTTGAATCTCAGAACCCCCGAAGCTCCAAGTCCTCGGGTCGAATGAGTAAACCACGACCAACAGTGCCAAAAATGTACCTGAGAATGCGTTTTAGACAATGGTAATCATGTTCACTTGGTTGATGCATGCGCTGAGCAACTCGGTTGATAGCAAACTGGATGTCAGGACAGGTAATGGCCAGATACTGTAGAGCCCCAATGAGGCTGCGGAAGTGGGTGATATCGGCAAAGAGGGTGTCGGCTCCATTCGTAGACGAAGAGACTGCCATCGGTGTTGGTTGACTGGTGCATTTTTCCAGTCCAGCTTTCTGCAACAGATCTCGAGCATATTTTGACTGATGAAGAAACAAGCCGCTGCCTGTCCGAAAAACCTCCATTCCCAGAAAAAAATGTAACGGGCCAAGGTCCTTCATTTTGAAGGTAGTATGCATAGCTCGAGTGACATCCTGAATGAGAGCTGCAGTAGAGCCTGTAATAATGATATCATCTACATAGACAAGAAGAATGACTGTGTCGTGTGCTGAATGTTGAGTAAACAGACTCGTGTCGTGTATGCAACACGTGAAGCCGAGTCCCTGGAGGAACGTTTTCAGACGTGTGTACCAAGCACGGGGGGCTTGCTTGAGCCCATACAGAGACTTCTGGAGTTTGCAAACATGTTGAGGGAAGCGGGGATCAACATAGCCCGGTGGTTGCGTCATGTACATATTTTCATCAAGCATGCCATGAAGAAAAGCATTGGAAATATCCAACTGATTGATGAGCCAATTGTTGCGCACAGCGAGTGACAGTACCAGGCGAATGGTTTCCTGTCGAATACAGGACTGAATGTCTCGGAGTAATCAAGCCCATACTCTTGATTGTAGCCTTTAGCAACCAAACGAGCCTTGTACCTGGAAATACTGCCATCTGTATTGTGTTTAATTTTGTACACCCATTTACAGCCCACTGGGTGCCGCCCATGGGGCATAGGTACAAGAACCCAAGTTTTCTGATCAGTCAAAGCCTTAAACTTGTCATCCATAGCATGACGCCAATAAGCATTTTTTGAGGCAACAGAGTAGGTTGTTGGTTCACTATCGGGAAGGGGTGTATTTGGTAGTATGGTAGCCTGAAAGGTTTTGGGTTTAAAGATACCGGCTTTGCCACGGGTTAACATGGGATGAGTA